TGATCGTTATTATCATTTGTTGTCGGTCGTAGTTTTGGTTGCAGAAACAAGAGTGAGTGAGGCACATTTGTGCAAACACGAAGTCAAAAGTGGCACTTTTGCAATCTACCATTTTATTAGTATTTTATTTAGTTTATTGGAAAAACCATCCATCCAACACTGTTTTTAATGTAAAATTAATCTCCGAATCAACTGGGGATTTGGAGTTATCTGAATTATGTGGATGCTGCCTGCTGGTGGTGTTCATGTATATGGATATTGGATGATTACATACACGTGTCGCATAGTTTTCTTTTGATTGTTGACAATTAGAGCACTTGTATAGCTTTAAGCTCGCGGTAAATATTCTAGTTTTTTATAAAAAGAAAATTCACTTTGACATGGAACTTGATAGTTGGTGATGTAATGGTAGAGGTTTATTGTTTAGTAAGATATTACACAGAATTGAGAATCCTAAAAACTTTGTGGGCATGTTTTCTGGGGCTTGATGGACAGATGAAATCAGAAGTCTCCTTCCTAGGGGGTTTGAAGTTATTGGTGCAGTGATTGTCCAGGATAAGAATGAAGTTAGAGCAGAAAGAATTGCAAGTGATGCTATTTTAGCCGCTAGTGAATTTAGGAAGATCCTTTATGGAAAGGACAGTCAAAATCAAGTGTTGATTGGAGCTGCTCTGGATGTAAACAGCGCCGGTGGTGATAGTGCTCTGCAGTTCTTCATATCAAGGACCGGCAATACGAATAATTTGGAGAAAGTAAGTACCGTAGTTTGTGAAGATCAGCCCAAGAAGGAAGTATGGCAGAGAGGCTGTATCATCCGTTGTGAACTTCCTTTGAAATTGCCTCTGTATTATGCGCCAAACAATCCTAAAGGTGTGTTTATCATTTCTCATTTTATTATATATTGAAGTATTACTTTTGTTTTAGTGAGGATGTTAGTATCTTGAGCCTGTTAATTGAACTTCAAATTATAAATTGTAAGATGATTCTCTGATTATGGTGTACACATTGCTTCTCGTGGCCGATATTCTCAACTTTCTGAAATGCAGTTTATGTAATTTTTTGTTGATAAGAGGTTATTCTTTCATAATTCTGTTCATGTTGCTGAGTATGCTGCATTTTTGTTAGGCATTGAAGATGCATATGCACGAGCAATTGAAGATGTGGAAAGAAAATTTAGAGACCCACAAGCTACATATATCATAGAACCCCAGCCTTCTCTGGGTGGACCTCAGTCTGTCATCCTTCATGGAACAGATTTGGATCTGCCAGCTTCGCTTCCAACAAATGCTTTTCTAATTGAAGATGCTCAAGAGTCAATTGCCAAATCTCTAACATGTTCGTACTTTCTCTCAGATAGTAAGGATGTTGCATCTTTTACCTCTTTGGAGAAGGTAATATGTCACTCCATTGACATTGATTTTACTTGTGATCTTGAATTACTGATGAACTTACGCTTTGAACATCTATTTTTTTTTTTTTTTTTCAATTACTGCTTAGAATGCAGATAAAATTGTTGTCAGCGTCATGTTTAATAGATCACGGAGTAATTCCGAACCTGCTGCGCCTATTGCTGAGTATTATCCAGGTATGAGATGCAATTAAAGTATTTTCTTTTGTCTTTTAGAGAGATTCAGGGCCCAGCAATTTGCCTGCACTCTGTCTTCTTGACAGCTCGTTGAATATAGATTTGTACGTTTGACGATCCATCTCATTCCTTAAATTATATTTTGTTACCAGCAATGGGAGAAGCCCAATTTTTGGCTGTAAATCACAAATTAGAAGTGTTATCCTATGCTAAGAAGGATCTGCTGTTGACGAGTATGGTTTCAAAGTTACTCATCCCTGGATTGGTTGATCAGTTACATGCATTAAAGAACAAGTTCTTGGCTGATGTCTCTGTTCAACAGCCGCAGGTTAAATGGTCATCTTATCTTTATTGTACTGTCAGTGATAACCTCCTTCGAAAACTTATTATCTGACAAACTTGCTTTATTCTGCAGCTGCAACCATACCATTTCATGCCTACAGGCTTTCTACATCCAATCACAGTTGTATATGAACTTAGCTATGGGGAGACAGAAATCAAGCAAGGTAGTCTCTGTTTAAAGTTTACTAGGAGGATATATAAAATGTGTCTGCTCAAATTCATTAGTTAATTGCAAAGTTATCTTATGTCATACATACCCCACCCAACCCCACCCCCAACCCCCAAAACGTGGTTTGACATGATTAAAACAGTACATAATTTCCATATTATATACCATAAAGGTCTGCCAGAATGGTTCGATAAATGTAGTACAAGGTATCAAGCGCATCTTATAATTTAAGAACACATTGACATAAAATATATATTCATCTGTTGGACCAATGAGAACTTGAAATATTTCTGCATTGGAGGTGGTACTTTAATTTTTTGCTGAACTTACTTCAACTTTGCAGTTGAAGCTCGCAGAACACTTCACCGGAGACTAGGGTTGCCACTTGACCGCCCTCTTTTGAGAATTGCTAATGCTATAAACTTTTCTACAGTGATGGACAAATCAAATTCAAAGGGTTTTTATCTAACTTTATCAAAGCCTTCAATTTTTATGTTGGTACCTTAGTTTATTTGAATTTGGCTGGTGTAATACATTGTTTGTTTGTTTTTTTATATCAGGTTCCTCTTTGCTCAAGGATGTACATCTTGGTATTCCAAACAGTGGGGGTAATTGTTGTCCCGAACCTCACATTTGGCTTTTGTTTCTTAACATTGTAATGTTTCACTGTGTATTTACTACTATCATATCAATTTTACAGTATCTGGTGGCCATATCTCTCTAATTCAAGGTTCTTATGAGTATTATCATTACCTCCAAGATGGATTCGATGATTCGGTAATGCTACTCCCTCTTGGAATCGTAGAAACATATTTCTGTTTTTAATTAATGCTGCAACTATTTGGAAATTGACATATAAATTTCAATCCAAAAACACTATTGACCATGTCCAAAGTTAATTTGAAGATTTTATTGTTTCATTATTCAGATTCATATTCCTGCTGGATGTAAACGTGCTTTTTAGAAATGCACTTTAGTTGGCAACAGTATGTGATGCTGTATGGTTCCTGGCATACGGGATTTGCTAGAATGAGAGAATAACTAAATTGCAGTAAATATGGAAAAGTAAGACAACCTGAGTTAGGTATATTTAAAAGAAAATACAGTTTATGTGCAGGATGCATTGTAACTATAAGATTGTAGAGAACCTCGGAGAAAGATACATAATGCAGGTCTACTGTTATAATTAAAGGAACCAAAGTAAAAGCAGAAAAAGGTGAACTTAAATAATATTGAGTGATAACTAATCACGCTCTTTTCTGGTTTCTTATAATGTGTTTTGTTATATCAGTTATCATTTTTCTTTCTATCCAAGTTTCGTTGCAATACAACAAC